CGAGCCGAACCGAGGCAGACCGGACCGAGCCGAACCGGACTGGACCGAACCGAGCCGGACCGGACTGAGCCGAGCCGGATTGGACCGAACCGAGCCAGACAGGACTGAGCTGAGCCGGACTGGACCGAGCCAAACCGAGCCAGACAGGACTGAGCCGAGCCGGACCGAGCCGAGCCGAACTGGACCGGGACCGAGCCGAACCAGACTGAACCAAGCCAGACTGGACTGAGCCGAGCCAAGTTGAGCCAGACTGAGCCGAACCGGACCAGACTAAGCTGAACCAAACTGAGCCGAGCCAAACCAGACCAAGCCAAGCCAGACTGGAGCACGCTGAGCCAAGTTGAGCCACACTGAGCTGAGCCAGACCAGACTGAGCCAAACTGGACCACACTGAGCCGAGCTGGCCCAGACTGAGCTGGACCGGACCGAGCCCAACCAGACTTAACCAAGCTGAACCAGACCAAGCCAAACTGGACCAAGCTGAGCTGAACCAGACCATTCTCACATGCGGGGCTTTGTTTTCCTTTTGCTCGAGCGAACCAAACCGGTCTCACACACAGGGCTTTGTTTGCCCCTCCTGCTCCTGTGGTGGTTTACAAAATTCTCCCCAGTTCTCTCTGTGATGGCAGGAACAAGGTCTGAAACTGCACTTAAGCACGTTAAAACATCACATTTCATCACCGAGCTGCTGGAAGAGCTCCAAGGTAGGTAAGGCCTGAGAAGAGCATCTCTTTTTTCTTCCCCCCTTGCAGACCATGTGCTTATTGCTGGCAGCAGCAGGACGATGGAGAGAGATAAGAAAAGGAATGTTCACACGGAGGCTCCTCTGAACGTGCCTGGGCTGCTCCAGGACACTCAGGATGTGTCTGCACATCCCCCATCCCGGGCAACGCAACCAGCCCAAGGAAAACTCAGAAGACAAACTCTCATCCCACACATGGCTGCTGAACTGTCCTTACACAGAATTTTGGCTCTGCCTCAGTTTGAACTGAAGGAAAAACACACAGTGGAATAGTGCAAATATCAGAGGGATTGAGGGATGTTGGGGAAATGACTAGAGAGTAATTCACCTTTAACCTGCTTGAAAAGACAGCTGAAGCTGCACTCTCATGGGTTTGGACAGGTCCTGCTCAGCCCCAGAGCTGACAGTCCCCAGGTATCTTCCCTGTCCCTGGGCTGTGCTTAACCCACCTCCCTAACATTCCACCATGACCTTGACTGTTCACTGATTGTTTATGGTGCATCTTAGCAGGACACTTACGCAAATCTCATGGCTTCCCACTGTAAATATCAAGAGAACAAATTCTGATTTATTAATCAATTAATTAGAGGAAACACGCTGATGGCTACCACAGGCCCACAGTGATTTGTTTTTAACAAAGTGATGAGCTGCAGTCAAAAGCAGGCTGGCACCAGCCCTTCTCCAAGGGATATGGCTCCTCCTTTCTGAGCAAAGACTGTAACAATTATTCGATGAAATGGTTAACGTTTCCGCTGAAACTTGAATTTGTAAATAGCTGGACCAGTCGTTGTTTCTTTCTTCACCTTTACTTTATGAGTTTTGTCCTGGAAAAAAGAACAAGTACAAATATTTGCTGCCATGCAAGGAGAAAAACCCACACAAATCGGAGAGTGTCTATCTGGATCTGACCATAAAAGAAAAATGGTCACTGCACTGTTTAGGTGGGGATTATAATTTTATCTGCTCTTTTCCCCTTCAGGCTCTCAGGCACAATCTGCTTTGCTCACAAGCATCAGAGGATGGGAATCCCATTGAGATAAGTAATTTCTGTGGTCATCTGGAGTTTTAAGACCTTCTCCTAACTTACAGAAATGGTTCCCTGCTTCTGACTCCTAGTGACACTCTTTTGGACTCCTTGTGAGCACCATCTGAGTCTTTGTCCTTGCTGACAAGGTGAGACTTGGACTAGCAGATATAATTTACTGGAATGCTTCATCTCCTTCCTTTTTCCATACTAAAAGAGGACTGCTTATCTTTAGGAGGTATCTGGAGGTGTCAGTATAAAACCAGAACAAAGAAACAAATATAACATATGCAACACACACAATGCCAGACCTAATGACCTGAGCAGAACAGACTTGGAGAACCAGAACCAAATCCCTCACCAGAAGATCTTTCCGTGTCTGGATTTTCTGTGAGATGACAAACATGGCCTTCTCTCTCTCGATGCGCTGCCTCAGGAGGTCATACCGGTTCTTCCTCTTCTGGGCTAATTTCTGGCAACGAGAAAAAAACAGCTGTTTTAAGACAGAGATTGATATGAAGAATCATGTCTTATGAATAAGATACTATGGTCTAAATCCTCAGAATTTCAAAGTCGAATGCTCCCTAATGAAAATCCACTTTATCCAGCGGAGGGAAAACAAACAAAAAAAAAGGACAGAGCAGAGACCAATTCCTGAAGTGTTCAGAGCCTGCAGAGGCCCCTCAAAATGCAACTTGTTGGGTCAAGTTTGCATAATGAGAGTGGATAGCTTTCCCAGCACAGGAACAGTATTACTGCAGGTGTGATTTAAGTAATTAAATTAAGGAGAACAGATCCCAACATGCTTAAAATATGACTCAGACATTTGGGAGAAAACTAGTCAGCCTACGACTCGTCCAACTGCTTTACTGACAAGTCAAACTGAGACAGCTGGCAGGAGGAAAGGGACCACAGGGTGTTTATTATCTGAGTCAGAAAAAACAGGTTAAAAATTTACCAGTCGGCAATTTTAAGACAACTATTTTTACCTTACACACAACCAACTCATACTCAGAGGACTGTCCAACAGATCTGAATTACCCAAGAAGAATCTACAGCAGTAAAGCCAAGTGTAGTTACTTCTGTGATACTAAAACATCAGAATCAAAGGTGCATAAACAATTCATGCTGAAGAATCGAGAAACAATTCAAATTAGGAAAGCCAGGAAGTGAGACTACAGCTTAAATGGCATTAGGAAGGAAAGTGAGGAGGCAAATCCCAAGCCACTTTGGACTCAGAACAAACTGAAAAACACTGTAAGGTCAGGAACACTGCAACAGAGACATCTGTGTTAGAATAAGTTTCTTCCTATAGACCTAATTTGGGGGTGGCAAGGGGTTTTGGGGAAGTGTGTGGATCCTGAAAAGAATTACACCTGAAACTGCAGCAGTCTAATGAAAAGACAGTCTCATAGTTATATGTTCCTTTATAGAAGAGAAATATCTCAGATTTGCAGGGACATTGCATAATGAGATCCACACCACTCTTTTCTGCCCTGTACATCACAACTTATGGTGGTCCACCCACAGTGGAATGGGATGCAGTGATATATGACTCCATATTAGTCCAGGAGAAGATGTGACTGCAGGTTCCAGGCAGTCACTTGGTGACTGAGTGACATCCACTACTCCTTTGTGTCACCAATAGAAGTTTTTAGAAAACAATTTGTTCACCTCCACAATGATGCAATTAATCCTTTTTAGTGCTTATCATATAGAAGATGTAAAACATGAAGAACTCTGTAGGACAATCAGCAGCAGTACCTTGAGGTGGGCAGGATCAGTAGGTCCCTTCACTGTCTCTCTCTGCAGCGTTGCAATGGTTGGTCGGTTGTACACTCTATCTACAAGCTCAGGAACGGTGTCCAGGTGAGCAGCAATATCAAACTCCTGAACTAGACATAAAAAGAAAATTGGGAACAAACTCCCATGAGCTCCTTCGATAAGCAAACCTTCCAAACATGTTGGAAGAGCAACAGAAGCCCCAGCAACACAGCTCCTGCAGAAGTGATGTCTCAGCTAGCAACCAAAAGGGATTTCTAGAACACCTAAAAAAAAGTGTCTTTCTTTTATGACAGCCCACATTACCAGGTGATAGAACAAGCTCTGTCACTGGGTTCCAGCCTCACCTTCTCGCTTTGTGTCCACGAAGAAGAGATGCCGACCCTGGCCGCTCCCCGCGGCGTCCAGCAGGTGGAGCTCTGCCTTCAAGCGCTCGATTTTCTGCGGAAAATTCAAGTTTGGCCAAATTCAGAGCGAGTAAAATCAAATCTCCCCCGAGCACATTTCGGTCTGTTCCTCGGGGTTAAAAATAGCTTAACTCCTCCTTTTCATCTCTGAAAACACATCTAGTCTATAATGATAACATTTCTTCACAACTTTTCCAGACAGAGGGTCACAGTGATGCTGTTACCCAGGCAAAGTGCACACATCCACCTGCAAAACCGAGTCTTCTGTTTGCCAAAGGGGAATGATTGCCTTGGAACCACCAGCTAAAGCATGAAGGAAAGTTTAAAGCTGCTTTGATTTTTTTTATCCCCAGTGAGAATTTGATTCTGTTTTGCGAATCAACATCAGTATCATTCAGAAGAGCATCATGTTTTTGTCAGGATTGCCAGCCTACCATAATTCAACAACCCACTTCAGATTATTCTCCTCAGCTGAGAGACTCTCCCATCCTCTGTAACTCCCTGACAGAGACTGAAGGCAGGAGGCAGTCACTTCTCCCAAGTAACAAGTGTTCTCTCCCATACTCAGCACTGGTGAGGCTGCACCCTAAGTGCTGTGTCCAGATCTGGGCCACTCAGTTTAGGAAGGACATTGAGATGCTCAGATGTGTCCAGAGAAGAGCAGCAAGGCTGGTGAAGGGTCTGGAACATAAACAATATGAAGAACAGCTGAGGGAGCTGTTTAGCCTAGAGAAAAGGAGGCTCAGGGGAGATCTGATCACTCTCTACAGCTACCTGAAAGGAGGGTGTAGCCAGGTGGGAGTCAGTCTCTTCTCCCAGGCAACCACTGGCAGAATGAGAGGACCACAGCCTTAAGCTGCACCAGGGGAAGTTTAGGCTGGACACTAGGAAAAAAATCTCTGGGCACTGTAATGAGCTACCCAGGGAAGTGTTTAAAAAAATACTGGATATGATGCTCATTTCCATGGTCTGGTTGACAAGGTGGTGTTACATCATAGGTTGAACTTGATGATCTCAAAGGTCTTTTCCAACATAGTTAATTCTGTGATTCTGTGACAGGACAAGAGGCAAGAGCCTCAAGCTATGCTGGGGGAGGTTCAGGTTTGGTATTAGGAAAAAAATCTTCCCTGAAAGGGCTGTCAGGCATTGGAACAGGCTGCCCAGAGAAATGGTGGAATCACTATCCCTGGAAGCGTTCAAAAGGCATGTGGCTGTGGCACCTGGGGACTCAGAGGTGACCACATGGTGGCTGGGGGAACAGCTGGACTTCATGATCTGAGAGCGCTCTTCCAACCTTAGGGATCTCATGATTTCTCTATGAACATGCTAAGCAGAAATACATTTTTAAAATCTTGACATTTATGTAAAAATCACTGTTTTGTAACAATGCACAGTGCCATTTTTGATAATAACCACACCTTTAGGCTCTATATCCAGCACTCCACTGACACTTCCATTGTCCTTTCCAGCACTGTTTGTTCAGACTTCACTGAACAAACACAACAGCTAGCAGCAACAGTAAGAAAAACACAGTAGAAAAACAATTCTGAGCAAACTAGAAAACACTAAAAATGTGAGTTATTACCTTGGCTTCCGCAACTCTTTTCATTTCTATGTATTTAATATCCTGTGTCCTCATAAGCTTCACCTGCTCCGGGGTAATTTCATCCTTTGGCTGCTTTATTACATGGACTCCATCCTACAACCAGACAAACACAGTACTTACAGACAGCCCATGGCACCTGGAGAGCACTGCAGGGCCTGCTGACAGCAGAACTTTGTCCCTTGTCCCTCATTTTCTTCAAAGCCTCCTACAGGCATCAAACCAATTTTTCTCATTTATCTAATAATTCATAAATTTAAATCGGGACAAGATAGGGGGAAAAAAACGTTACTTAGAGCAACAAAGTGTAATCCTGCTTGAAGGCAATAAAGGTTCTCACCTTGACCTCTGCACGTATCATTTTGAAGTAGAATTCATCGGGGTTCTTGTCCAGAGCTTTCTTCTGCATCGCCCTGAGAGCATTTTGCTTCTTGTGGTAGTCGCTGGGGAGGATAAAACCAACAATCACGAGCAGTCCGGCAGCTTCTCCGTGCCCACCGCCGAGCGTGCCGCGGCGCGGCTCAGGGCCGGGAGGCAGCCCGGGGCAACCCCCGGGACGCGGGGAGACCCGGC